GCTCGCGGAAACCTTTCCCCGTTGCAACCGGCCGAGGGAAATGAGAGTCCCCCAGCAGGATCGCTCTGCTCCGCTCCCCACCGCCCGCGGTCGCAGCAAGGGAAAAACCCACGCAGACTTTAGGAAACGTCTTTTCACAGCGAGGGTGGTCAGAGGCTGGGACAGGGGCCGGGAGAGCTTCTCAACTCTGGTCTAACCTTGGAGGTGCTCAAAACTGGACTGTACCAGCCCTGAGCAACCTGATCTAACTCTCAGGTTGCATTTAACTTTGGGATTGGACTTGCTTAAAGCAGGGTTTGGTCCAGAGACCTCCAGAGGGCCCTCTCAAGAGAAATTAGTCTATAGCTGAGTTATGTAAAGCCACCTACAAGGCAGGGCTGTGATAACATCCCCATCCCACAGATGGGGAAACTGAGGCACGGGACGAGCAGGAGACTTGCACAGGGCTGAGCAAAAGCCAGTGGCAAGCTTCCCTTTGCTGGGAAGGGCTGGACAGCTCTTCCTTATTTCTTAATTTCCTTGCCTCCCTTCCTAGAGTCAGTGCTTTCTGAAGGGCAAGGTGAGCGCAGGACTCGTGCTCCTGCGCCGCGGAGTCACTTCTTGTGCCTCCAGGATGCTTGGCGAGAGGCCAGAGGGGTGCTTGTGGGTTTGTGGGTGCCAGCGCGTGGCCGGGGAGCAAGCCAGAGGATGCAGCCGTGCACAGCGCTGCAGAAACGTGCTTGGTAAAACGCGCGTAAAGCCATCCAAGAGGCATGCTCTCAGGGAGGGCACGTCCTCGGCGGTTGCGCGGACGCGGGTGCCGGCTGGTACAATCCTGCTTTCCGATCAGAGCCTGGCCGAGAGGGCTCAGCATACCCGCGCCGCCCGTGCCGACCTGGGGCACTTTATAGCTGTAGCGCGTGCGGGGACTTCGACCCCTGACGATGAGGTGCAGAGGGGCAAAGGATTGCTGATAATACGGCCCGTCAAGGCGAAAACATCACCTCTGCAGTACGGGATGCGGGACCTGCCAAAGTGCTACGGTTCGGGCCAGGCGCACGTCGTCCCCCAGCCGCGCTGCTGGCAGGGCTGCGCCGCTGCGGGTCACCCCGGGCTCGAGCAAAAGGATTTTCCCTGAATGCCAGTGTGGAAAGGGCTTTCCTAGACTTGAAGGCCAAAAAGGACTTTATTGCAGTGGGAGATGGATGCCTAAATTTCAGAAGCTGAGCAGAGCTGGCCCGTTCACAGTAAGAGCAAATCAGCTGCAGGAGCAGGTGGCCAGGTAGGACCTGGCTTTTCGGGGACAGCTTGCCCTCACGTGGGCTCAAACCCATGGCGAAACCTCCCCCGGGTCAGCCCCAGCTCGTCCCAGGGGCACCTGAGTCAATGCAAGCCCCCAGGGCCACCTAAGGTGCCCGTTTCAGGGACCTCAGCCACTCACCTCAGCTGGTCCCCGCATCCCCAGCAAATCCTGCAGGACCGAGGGCGAAACGGCGTCCACAGGAGCTGTTCTCAGCTCCGCGTGTTTTCTGTTCCCTGGGTATTTGTGGAAGGTAAACGATCCTTTAATACACACTCAGGTTAGTGATTAATCCTGTGTTTGCCAGATACCAAAATAGCAGGCGGTGTTACTGGAGCGCACCTGCACGCGCCACCGGGTCCCCACTGGCCCCGCCGCCTGCGGGCTGCTCTGCTCTTCACTGCCACCGGCATTTCCTTGCTGTACATCTCTGATTTCTGGCACGAAAAAAGACACCGTCAAAGACAGTCAACAAGACTATCAAAGCCACTCTGGCTCCCAGTCCAGGATGCAGAGTTAAACTATGAAAAGAGAGTGGTACAGAATCATTTCAGTGAGTTGCAAGTTCAAATTCAGGCTCTCGCATAGACTTTAGCCCAGGTTGCTAATCCAAGTTCAAATGCAAGCGTCCAGCCGAAAAGCGTGCGTTCATGTTCGGGTTAAACCAACCGCAAACAGTGCTGGTTTAAGAAGCAAAACAGCATGAAGTTCAAGATACACTCTGTCCTTTTGCTGCCCTTTGCACCCCTTCCTTGTATCAGCACTACTGATAGTGTGTGCCTTCATCTTGTGAGATAACTTCACTGATCTACCTTTTATTTTTTGTTGTTTTTATGGAAGAGGAGCACTTGGAGGCAAACTGATGATCACTTCAGCATTATATCCCTCTGGCGTGCATCCAGGAGCACTGCAAAAAATGGTTTGCACCGGGATAACCTGCTCCTCCAAGCTCATGGACAGAAATAGGGCTGTTGACACCGCTTTATCGGTGCCCTGTGCCTATCTGCAGTGATAGCACTTGCTAATGAGATCATCTGCTAAGGCTACGATGGGTGTCAGCATTCGCAACCACCCCTTTTGAGTGAATTGGTCAAGCGAGTACCGCTTATGTGGAGGTCATATGTGAGCATGGTACATAAGGGAAGCACCTGGGATGTGCACCAGTATGATAATGCCATTTACTGGGAGGGGTTTTCCCGTGCTCAGCCCTGCAAGGTTGATGCATTCTTTTTTATGCCATCATGTCTTTAATTCATTTTTTTGAATTTAAAAGGAATGGAGGGGAACAAGGAAGACAGCGCCTGTGCCACTAGGTGCCAGCTGCAAAACCGCTGTGGCTTATCCACCTCAGCAGCAGGTCACGAGCTGGAAAATTTAACAGCTTTTAATTAACATGATCTTGCCTAGTGCCTCCCTATTCCTGCTTGGATTTGCAATTCCACCTTGGCGCCTCTTTATTCCTTAGCAGCTGCACTTTGAAGTTGCGCATCAGAAATCAGTTGTATTTATAGAGCTGGATTTGGGTCCCTGTCCTGTACCTCTTGCAAAGCGTTCCCAGGGCCTGGAGGACCACAGGCTTGCCACACCACTCTGCAAAGCCCCAAATTAATCCCTGTATCACTAGATGGCGGCAATGCCCCGCATCAGTGAGGAGGTGGTGAAGGGTGAGCTGCCACCTCCGTGGAGCCCTGGTTCCCGACCATCAGCCCAATGTTGCTGGGCCCGGGAGGAAATAAGGGATCGATCTGTAGCTGTAGCATTAGACTGCAACACCTCCTACCCCTGTGATTGTGCAGAGGTGTCTCCAGTCAGGCTGGAGCTCCCTGGAGGAAGTTGGATGGCCTCAGACAAGGCAAACGCTGGTTGAGGTGAGGAACTAGGTTCTTCTGGCTCACCCCACCTTATTCCTCAGATCTGTCCTGAGGTTTTATCACTCTCCTTCCCGTACAGTCTCTCCTCTCCTGCCCTCTGCTCCTTGCATCTCCATTTTCACATCAAAGCCCAGTTACTGTCGGGCAAAGGGTGGAAAAAAGTGTTAGAGCCACAGGCTGTCTCCTCTCAAGGGAACTAGGAACCAGGCCTGCTGCTCCATGGTGGTTCCCCCACAAAAACACATACTCTGAGTCTCGCTTTTCTTCTACAGGCAAGGAAGAGACTCTCAAATCCCACATCAGTAAAAGGCAGCAGGGAAGAAGTTATTACTCATCAGCAGCTGCCCAAGTGGTGGCTACTAACGGGCCAGCCATCACGCTGTGAAGCTCACTCTGAAAGGACTGAGCTATCTCACCTGCAAGAGGACTGCTACTGAGATGCAAATGGTGCTCAGATATTTGGGAACTGCAAATGGTGCTCAGTTATTCGGGAAAGGGAAAGACTGGACAGGACAGGCCCACGTGAGTCTCTGGAGTCCTACATCCAAGACAGAAACTCAGAAAGGGACACATGAAACTAACCCAAGTGTTGACCACTGGAAAGGTGTGAGCATCAGGCAAAGCCATTAGTCTCACCATCAGGATGGGCTCAGTAGCTCAGTACAGGCACAAGGCTGGCAGAGGCTGGTGTCTGTGTTGCCATCTCTGGGGACAGCTGCTGCGTGGAGACCATGGCTTTCATGAGACCCCATCAGGCTTGAACTCGGCACATCACCATGGGGAGATCGACTTAGGCATGGCCAAAGGATGGACAGAGCCAGCTTTGACCAGATAGGTGTCTCTCACCTTGCCGTCCTCTACGGTATATTGCCTTACTCAGGAGCTAGCTCATTTGAAGATCAAAAACTTCTTGGTCACAGCCAGGGCCAGAACATGGCAGTTTTATGAAGACTCATCACATAAACCTGAATGACACAAACATGTCCCCCTTGTCTCCCAATCCTTTCTGTCTCCCCTGCTAGAGAGAGAAACACACCATGCCTCAACCTGAGCTGCCCAGTGTTTGCAAACTGCACACAAACAAAGGCTTCCAGATCTATAAATGACTGAATTAACTCCAGGCAGATCCAACAAGCAGAAGATAAGGATGTTTGGTATTCTGCAATGCCTTTTACTGCTCTGTACAGAGTATGCTCCCAGTGGGAAGCATGTTATGCTGTCTGAGAAAAAGTACATAAGCCTGTCGCTGCTGATAGATGAAGAGGTGCCTTGTCCCCTCCCCTCTCCTACACAGAAGTACGAATTTTCACAGTGAAAACAGTGAGGTTCCAGGTAAAAATTGTCATGTTGTGGCTGGAAACCAAAGCACTTCAATTCTGCTGTTCTCAGAGGTCAGCAGGCCCACATGCTGATGAGGTTCAGGATCCGTAGCAGGATGGGGAACTGTAGAAGTCTGCAGAGTTGGTCTGCAGCTGTACATACAAATATGCACCCAGAATCTTATGTTAATGTCCCTTGTCAGGGAGGCAGAAGTATGCAATTGCAAATGAAACAAAGTGCAAGAGGCTGCCTTTTGCTGTGGTGAATGTGGCTCTTCTCCTCTCTTTCTAAATCCAGTGTAAATTCTAGATATCTCAGCTGACATGGTCTCTGAGACAGAACTTCCATGT